TTGTTACGTTTACCCGCCGTAAGAACCCTTTCATTTTTTTATATCATATCGCCAACGTCCCTGTACAATCACAACCATCCTACAAGTATCTAGGTGTCACACTGTATTGCGATCTCACTTGGAATGCGCATATTACTAACGTCATTTCATCGGCAAATAAAACTCTGGGCTTCTTGAAGCGTCACCTACGTCATGCACCAAAACATGTGAAGTTGCTAGCATATCAGTCCCTCATCAGATCGAAACTCGAATATGCCTCCCCCATATGGAACCCACCCCAAACATACCTCATTAACGACCTCGAATCTGTCCAAAATCGCGCCGCTCGATTCATTCACTCCCAGTACTCATACGACATCAGTATTTCATCCTTGAAAGCACAATCCGGTTTATCACCCCTCTCTGTTCGCCGCCGTATCGCCACCCTTTCTCTCTTTCATAAATTTTTTCATTCTTCTCTCAATGCAGCTCCTTACATCCTCCCCCCGACATACATTTCACACCGCACAAGCCATCCACTTCAAGTGTCCCGTTATCGTAACAGAACTGCCGCTTTTTCCGCTTCTTTTCTTCCTCGCACCGTCAAGGATTGGAACGACCTTCCCTGCTCCATTGCTTCAACCACCTGCCCATCATCCTTCGCGACAAATCTTGCAAATCACCTATGCTGCGAAAACTAACGTGTTCAAATGTTCTCTTTTCCTCTGTATCCACCCCTTATGTAATACCCCCGAATGGGGTCCTTAAGGAAATAAAAATGAAATGTAATGAAAAAATGAAAAATAATTGTAGCAAAGCCTGATTGATTGATATGTGGAGTTGAACGTCCCAAAACCACCATAAGATTATGAGAGACGCTGTAGTGGAGGGCTCCAGAAATTTCGTCCACCTGGGGTTCTTTAACGTGCACCCAACTATGAGCACACAGGGTTTTAGCGAAGCCTCGAAACTCTGAAATGGGTTGAACTCTTGAGTACCTTTTGGTGGGCTACCCAAAAAGGACGTCGCTCACGCTGTCAGTCCGTGCTTGGCCGTAGCTATCGCTAAATTACAATCATTCATATTTATGTTAACATAAAAAAAATGACAGCATATCCACGGAGTGAATCATCGAGAGTGGGGCGAAGAATTCGTCCGTCCATGCGTTCTTGCTTCTGTCCATCCGTGCGTCCGTCAGTGTGACCGTCCATGCGTCCATCAGCCCGTCCGTGCGTGCGTCTATTCGTGCGTCCATCCCTGCGTTCGTCCATGCATCCGCCCCTGCGTCCGTTCATGCGTCCCTCCATGCATCTGTCTATGTGTCCGTTCGTCCATCTATTCAACACTCCAAGTACCACCATCTCGCATCTTTTCTTCATATATTCCCCATATAGAAGCACCGCCATCCAGCGGACATTCCAAGGACTAAACGAGAGGTGGCACACGCACACTTTCTTACGGCTTGCGCTTCGGGTTCACTTCCCACACTTAACCACCTCGAGTTCATGGTATATACTAGTTCACTGTATTCAAGACACTGCGGCCGAACGATCGCTAAACCTTTCGAAAACCAAGGAGGTTACGTCCAGCGAGTGTGACGTAGCAAGCGTTTTCAGTCAGATAGTGCTCAATGTACATGCCAATGGCTGCTAATGGGAAATGAGAGGCGGAGAATTCGGCTTTTACTTTCTTACGGCTTGCGCTTCGAATCTACCTCAAATTTTTAACCACCTAGAGTTTATTCATGATATATACAAGTTCATTGTATTCATGGCACTGCGGCTCAACGCTCCCTAAACCTTTCTAAAGCTAAGGAGGTTACACCCAGCGAGTATAACGTAGCAACCCTTTCTTGTCAGATAGTGCTCAATGTACATGCCAATGGCTGCTAATGGTGATCGCAGCCTGCGCGTCAACTAAAAGCCCAATGCTCTTTTCTCTCATTCCCCATTAGCAGCCATTGACATGTACATTGAGCACTATTTTTTCTTGTTCAACAACGCACAGAAGAAGTCTCTCGCCGGCACCACCTTGGAGGTCAAAATGTTATACTTGTTACAGACTACGAGGGACGAACGGGTGCCGCTATAAGGAGCTTCGCCCCTAAAAAACAATCATCTCAAAATTGTTTTAGTTATTGCTTAATAATAATCATAAATTCAATATGTATGATCAGCCCGGCTCATGGCCGGTCCCCCAGAATGGGTAGGTGAGAATAATCCGAGAAGCACCACCATCATCACTATGGCGAAGATTGCTGGTTGCCGGCTAATATAATAAACGCCTTACCTATATATATATATATATATATATATATATATATATATATATATATATATTGTAACGACGAGAAATAAGAGACAACGCCTTTGCTGCAGGCCGGCTGTTCTTATTCTGCTTCCTCTTCCTCCGCTTCCGTAACCCTGCCTGCGCCCTTGCCTGAGCCCCACTATTTAATATCATTACACTCGGCCCCGACTGCGAGCCTCGTGGGCTACCGACAATGTCTCCGGTGGGCGGCATTGACTATTCCGGGGTGGCCGGGCTCGGCCAAGCTGATATTTCACATGGAAGTTTGTTGAAGGAGATTCCGGAGGACGACACTGGCTGTGACGTGATGGTCGGTGCAGGCGTCGTCCACGATGGGGCCAACGCTGTTGACTTGGACAAGATGCCGCTAGCAGGAGATACAGACTCCTGCAAAGTGGCCGCGTTGGTTTAATCTCGTCGGTTTGAGCATCCTGTCGCAGTCGTGTTACAAATGCTGGAAATAGTCCACGCTGCACCGTCACCTGCTGCACTGAGCGTCGACGCCTGCGTTGCTTGCGGTGTGGCAAGGGGCGTCGGGGTGTCTTTGTAGTCATCTGAGAGCCGAGTTCAGGTTGCAGCTTGAGAGGCAACGCGTGCTCTTGCAGCACTGCCTTTGTCGGACTCATGCTCAAGCTGCTTATTCCTATAGTTTCACGTGCAGTAGAGCCTTCATTGTCAGATGACCTGTCACTAACCGGAAGTATTACCTTCTCTGGTAGGTCTTTGCTGACAGTGACTTTGAAGGAAGCGGCGCTTAGCGTGTGGCAGACGTCCGCACACTCGGCCACAGACTGACGTGATATCAGGAGATGTCGCTTCGAAGTGAGGGTCAGCACTGTAGGGTTGTTCGTCCCAGGGTAGGTGGTTAAATTGGCTGTCGGGAAGCTGCAAAATACAGCTGAAGCCGCGAGGGTGGTCTCCTTCTGGGATCTATTCTCGGTAGCGGTCGCGTAAGACTGGGTGGTCGTGGAGAGGTGATGGTGACTCCGTCCAAAAGCAGCTATGAGCTTGTCACTCCAGTCCACCCAGGACGTCTGCCGCACGCCTTCGTATCGATGCCAAGCCGCGGCAGCATTCCGAAGGCGGTCTATGGCCATGCCCCACTTCTTTTGGTCCGTCCACGCTGCGTGATCTCCGACAGCGTTGACGGTTGCCACCCATTCCTTGGCATCGTCCTGGAAGCCGCGAAACTCCGGTAGCTCGAAGGAAATCGGCGATGGCGGGACTGCGGGCAAAACTCCGAAATGTGCCCACGCCAAGCAGTTCACTTGCTCTGATACCTCCGTGAGAGAACGTCCGAGATTGCGACGGTTCTCGGGCGAGCTTACCTCGAAGTTTTGTGAGGCGGCCGCAGCCAACATGGCATTGAGTGCGCACAATGTTGGCAAGATGGCAGGACGTAGCTGGGAGCTCGACGCTATGAGGGCGTTGGTCGTGACGCGGAGTTGCGCGATGGTATGCTGCAGCTCCGCTGCGCTGTCGTGCGATCCGCACGAAGAGCCAAGGCCCGCCTCTGCGGAGGATACAGTGACTGCGGTACTCGAGGTGGTACAATTGCTGACCAAGGACGCGTGGACGGCGTCCCTTGGAAATCCAGCTGTGGTAGGAATCGTGGACATGGGTTCCAGGGCGCTGGAAGCGTCAACGACGTTCCCAGGCAAGCGGAACCCATGTGATGAGTTGTGACCTGGTACTGTGGCGTAGATGAAGCGATCTTGCGCCGCCGGGTAGGCCTCGACGCCGTACACGGTGGGTGCTTGAAGCGCCGACAGGTTGCCAGGTATGGAGGAGGCATGTACGCCATCCCTAGGTGAGAGAGGCCCGTGCGCATGGTTGCCGCGACGTGTCGCGTCCCAGGACAAGTTTCCCGGAACCACAACGGAGGCCTGGACGCCATCCGTCGGTACTGGGATCGATGCTGGCCGCGACGGACGCCTTGCGGGTTCCATCAGCGAAGAAGCGTGACGGCGTTCCTTATGGTGAACTGGTACCGGTAACGGGTGCTGGAGCCGCCGAGGAGGCCTTGACGCCGTCCCCGAACGGTGGTGTCAGTAAACAGCTGCCGAGGAGGGCTTGACGCCGTCCTCAAGCGACGCTTACCGCGGCTGCACGTCGGCGGGCGTTGTGGATGACGAAACCGAGACGTAAGCCGTTTTCTTCGTCGACTGCGCCATTGTAACGACGAGAAATAAGAGACAACGCCTTTGCTGCAGGCCGGCTGTTCTTATTCTGCTTCCTCTTCCTCCGCTTCCGTAACCCTGCCTGCGCCCTTGCCTGAGCCCACTATTTAATATCATTACAATATATATAAAAGGGAAAGAAGTGTATACCTAAGAAATCGTTTTTCCGTGTTTTGACACAATATTAATCAGATCTAACAGACAGTAATGCCAAGGAATGTACAGGGAAAGTTATTAGAACCAATGGAAGGCAAGTAAGAAAAAAGGAACGTGGATGAAAAAATAACCAACCCTATATGTATATATAAATATATATATATATATATATATATATATATATATATATATATGTATGTGTGTGTGTGTGTGTGTGTGTGTGTGTGTGTGTGTGTGTGTGTGTGTGTGTGTGTGTGTGTGTGTTTGTGTGTGTGTGGCTCTATACTTGCAAGTGCACTGACATCGTTCTCACTGTTTTTTCTTTACGTTTCACTGCATTCATAGCGTTACGTTCTCGCTATTCTCTTTCAAAAGGCACTCGAACAAACCAGACCTGTGGCTTGTATTACTGGAACTCCGATGTTAATAATTCAGTGGCTAGAAATAATTGTGATTCCTTCTATGCCGACTATTGCAAACCATATGGTACGGATGAGACTATTTACCATTCTTACTGCCAAGATTATGCTGCATGCTGAAAAATGTACTGGTTTGTTTACGGTTTAATAAATTCTCCAATACATATGTGGTACACTGAAGCCATGTGTCAATTTTCGCACTTCTTTTTGCATTAAACTTCGGTAATAGGTACACTAAATTTAGCTCAGAAAACAAGAAGGTATAAAAAACTACAAGAACACAATTTCTAATGAGCTGCCAGGCATGACACGTACCCAAGCAAATGATAGCAAGGTAGCACGCAAAGCGTCTAACATCGAGAGTATACGATGATAGCCAATCATTTGCTGCATCTCAGTTTCAGTTCTGCAGGCGTCCGCTACAGTACTTACGCGAAGCCGCGTTGTATTAGACGTCTGTAAGTGCTTCACAAAGCCCAGCGCTCGCGTTTCATCGATGACCGTAGCTAAAAAAATTTAAGGCAGATCAACGAGGTAAATGATGAAGAGATTGGGCGAAGGTCCTGGAAGTAATCATCGGTTAAACGGTGAAATTTCTTCCGTTAATTCGCCCGATGAAAGTGACGTGAAACGATTGATGAAATGTATATCAAACATTTATTGATGGTTTCCGTTGTCTTTTTTATTATGACCACTTTGTCATCGGTGAAATGTAAGCTAAGTGGTTCTTGCACTGGTTGCAGATGAAAGTTGGCAAACACGATGTCGATGCAGACGCCTCTGAAGCCGGTTGGGTGAGGGTTTTCAATGACAAATGCATTTGAGTCCGCACTTTTTTGACCTGTGATGCATCAACCAATGTTTGTTGGGGTCTGTAATGTTAACATTGAAGTCACCGACGACCATGAAAAATTTCGACTTGTCGTATATTGCCACGAACGAAATAACAGACAGCGACGAATCGACGTCTTGCTCGCTACCAGACCAGGAAGCAATGTTCCCTTCTTTCTCTACTCCCAAGCAATTTCACGCTATAGTTATGGCTCATACCTATTACCTGTGACATTATTCCCTTTCCTCGAAGAGCATCGTCTCGATGCTGGTGATGAGGGGTGAAAAAAATGAAAAAGAAAAGACGCTACCATGGATTCTAACAACTGCATCGTAAGGCAAAAAAATGGGCTGGTATCAGGGAAGTACTCAATGAAGAAAGGAGTTAGGACACAAGACAATACAAAAGAAACAAAAGTGACAAAAATAGTCATTGTATGGTAATTCAGTCCTCGTTCGATTGCTGACGCGATAAATATGGCTTGAACTTTGACACATGCACATCACTTTGTGGAAACCGACGGGAACGTCTTGAGGTGCCCTCGGGGAAAACTTCGTATGTTAAGTCACTAAGTCGGCGCAGAACTTTGTACGGGCCGAAGTAGTGCCGCAGCGACCTTTCAGAGTGACCATGCTGTCGAATGGGGTATATCATACGAGTTCTTGTGATCAACGGCCACATATATTCACAGCATGTCTGCAAAGCTCTTGTTCAACCATTCAGTGAGTCCGTTTGTTTGGGGGAGGTAATCAGTGGTTTTCCCATGTTCTGTACCGCTTAGGCTAAGCACTTCTTGAAGCATCTCTGCGGTGAAAGCTGTCCCACGATCAGTAATTATCACAGCTGGCGCTCCGTGACGAAGTACGATGCTGGTGACGAAATTTGGTCGATTTCGGCTGCGGTAGCTTTGGGCAGGGCTTTTGTTTCGCTGTAACGCATTAGGTAATCGGTGGCAACCACAATTCATCGGTTTCCAGGCGAAGACGTCGGAAATGATCCGAGCAAGTCAATGCCAATTCGATGGAATGGGGTTTTCGGCGTGGCGATAGGCTGTAGTAGTCCTGCTCGTCGGACAGGTGGAGTCTTACGGCGTTGGCAGTGGCGGCATGTGCGGACGTCAGCTTGACTGTCTTCGCAATGCGTGGCCAGTATTATGAGTGGCGAATTTTTTCCAAGATGCGCGTGTAGCCAAGGTGTCCGGATAATGGTTCGTCGTGACAAGCATGTAAAATATTGTCTCGAAGCGAGGCCGGCCCTACCACTAGATAAGTAGCCTGGGTATGGTCGAAGTTTTTCTGATAGAGTACTCCATCCCTGATGCAGATCGAGGCTAGCGAACGTGCAAAGTTTCGAGAAAGATTGCTTTTTCGGCCTTCGAGGTAGTCAATGAGCGGGCTTAGCTTTCCGTCATCGCGTTTTTGTCGAGCCAAGTCGGTTGCTGATACAGAGGAAAGGAACGTATCGTCTTCTTCAGCGTCCGCGTGCGTACTTCAGATTCGTGCACGTGAGAGACAGTCAACATCGGTGTGTTTGCATCCCGACTTGTAAATGACTGTAACGTCAAATTCTTGCAGCCGAAGGCTCCACCTTGCAAGACGACCAGAAGGATTCTTGAGGTTGGCGAGCCAGCATAAAGATTGGTGGTTGCTAACTACCCTGAATGGTCGACCGTACAAATAAGGCCGAAACTTTGTTATTGCCCAAACAACGGCCAAACATTCTTTTTCTGTTGCACAGTAGTTTTCCTCTGCAGATGATAGCGTTCAACTTGCATTGGCAATCACGCGCTCTACGTTATTTTGCCATTGAACCAATACAGCTTCAAGTCCAACTTTGCTGGCATCCGTGTGTAGCTCTGTGGCAGCATTGTCGTGAAAGTTACTGAGTACAGGTGGGGCTTGGAGATGGTTTCGTAGCGTGTCAAAGGCGTGATGCTGATCTTGACCCCAAAGAAATGGTACGCCATCTTTTATAAGTTCGTTTAGCGGATAAGCTATTTTATAAAAGCCTTTGACAAAGCGTCTGTATTATGCACACAGTCCCAGAAATCGGCGGAGATCGCGCTTGTTCTTCGGGACAGGAAATGCAGCAACAGCTTTAGTTTTCTCATGGTCTGGGTGTATACCGCCGTGGCTGACAACGTGACCAAGAAACTTCAGTTCCTCGAAAGCAAAGCGTATCTCAGGTTTTAGAGAAAGTTCAGCTGTTCGAATCGCTTGAAGAACTGTCTGTAAGCGCTGGACGTGTTGCTCAAACGAGTCCGAGAAGACGAGCCCATCGTCATGATAGCCAAGACACGATTGCCATTTTAGCCCAGAAAGAACCGTGTCCATCATTTTTTAAAAAGTAGCTGGCGCTGGGCATAAGCCGAAGGGAAGGACCTTGAACACGTAAAGTCCGTCAGGAGTAATGAAGGCGGTCTTTTCGCGGTCGTGCTCATCAAGAGGAATTTGCCAATAACTGCTGCGTAGATCCATGGAAGAAAACTAACGAGCGCTGTGAATGCGGTCTGGTGAGTCATCTCTTCGTGGTAAAAGACACACGTCTTTCGTTATTATCTTATTCAATTTTCGGTAGTCGACGCAAAATCGCAGGGTACCCTCTTTTTTCTTTACTAACACAACAGGGACACCCACGGACTGGTCGATGGCTGGAAGACATCGTCCTTGAGCATCTGCTAGACCTGTTGGCGTATAGCGTCTTGTTCTTTTTGCGAGACTCTGTAGGCGTGCGGCCCAATGGGTCTCTCGGTAGGCTCGGTGATGATACGATGCTTGGCAAGCAGTGTTTGCTTCACTTTTGAAGTCGTAGCGAAAGCAATACCGAAGTGAGTCGAGTAGCTTTAAAAGACGTTCCCGCTGTGTGGACGGTAGACCCTGGTTTACGTCGAGAGTGCTTGCGAATGTCATAGCGGAATGGTCACATGACGAAAGGGCAGATGATGTTGAAGGGTTAGGGACATCAGCAATATCCTCAAGAAATGCGATCGCAGTGTGTGTGGTAAGACGGCGATACTCCTCACTGAAATTCGTGACTAATAGTCAAGCCTGCTTTCTCCTGGGCTTAAGCACACCTCGGGCAACTCGTATTTGTTGTGCTAATAGTAGAGACAAATTTCCTTCTGCAATTACAGCATCGGGTACGTCTTAGTCACATTCAACGCTGATAAAGCGGCTGCTTCAGTGAGGCAGAGTAACAGATTTGGAGGATACACGTAGGGCAGCTTTCGAAAAGTGGGTGTTTTCAGGCTCAGAATAAAACGGGTCCTCGAAAGACACCTGCAAGTCTCGTAGGTCAATAATTGTTCCGTGTTCGCGAAGAAAGTCCAGTCCCAGAATGAGTGGACGGGAGCACACAGGCAATACGAGGAAAGACCCTGTGAACATCGAAGCATAGATTCTAACACGGGCTGTGCACATTCCAGTCGGCATGATGAGGCGGCCCCCTGCCGTGCGAAACGGAGGTCCTTGCCGAGGGGTAGTTACCTTCCTCAGTTGGAATGCCAGGGCGCTGCTCATAACCGAATAATCAGCGCCGGTGTCGACGAGGGCAGTGACGACGTGGTTATCGACGTGTACGGTGATGTCGGTGGAAACAGTCTTAAAACTTTCGGAAACGACTGAAAAATCAGAACGGTCTTCGTCGGGTCTTTCCGTCGAGGGAGGCACATTGACAGTTCGTTGAGACGCGCCTTCACCCCCAGGTGCCACGGTTTCTAGTTTCCCCTGTGGGGACTCGGTGACCGGCCTCTGAAAGGGACATAAGAAGACCAGGGAATGCTAAGTGACGTGGGGCGGCGAGGTGATGGTGATCGTGTTTGGGTGCGTTGACCAAGGTGAGGAGCTTGCTGGCCCGTAAGGTATGCTTCGATGTCACGGGGACGCTCACCATAACGCGGGCACCGAGCATCAGGGAACCCACGGAGACGAAGTTGGCGGTACTGGCAATTGCGGTAGAAGTGACCCACTTCGCCACTGTGGTAGCATAGTGGACGGTTATCTGACGTACGTCACACGCTTGCCTTTGTGGCGTTCTGTCATGATCCAGACGGATGATAAGTGGGTGCACATAGAAACCTTGTGGCGGGTGGCGCAGTCGAATAGGTGCCCTGTAATCTATGGCTAGCCTGATCCATTGTCCACATAGCGCGATCAGGTGCACGTGGTGCCAGAGATTGCAGGGCCGCCGCATAAGTCAGCACAGGGGCCTCAGGCCTTGTTGGTGCGAGTGGGGTGACCACCTGTCGGATCTCATTTCGGTTTAGGTCTGTGAGAGCATTTACGGTTGGTTGGAGTCCTGCTGCTTGGAGTTGGCGCAGCTCGTCTCGCACGAC